CAAGCCACTCCCACAAAGGAGGCCACACCCACAGAGTAGGTTCAAAACAATTTTTGAAACCCACCACTGATCCAAAAGTAAATCAGAGTCCGAGGCAAAGTATTGCTCAAAGTTCCAATTTATAAAGAGAGCCACGTTTGCACATCTGGGAAAACGTGAATCTGGAAGCTTCCTGGTTTCCCCCACCCAGTTGAAAATCCAAGATCTTGCCCCCACACCCACAAGTCCATCCCATGGCCCAATCTCCCACTGCCATGAAGACAGATTCCACCCATCCAATTCCAGTCAGGTGCAGAGGTCCAAAGACAAAGGATGACTTTGGCTTTCTAGAAAGACCCCCCCTTTCCATTTTCTCACAATAAAAAATGCAAAGCAGAATAATAGAAAGTGTGGCAGGCCAAAGATCCCTCCCCAAAAAAGATAGCCGCATCTCTTTGTTGCAAAAGTTCCTTGTCTAAGAGTTAATGCCAGCCCCTTATCCTTATGCCAAGCCTGATGGTCGTAACTCCCTAGTGAATCACAACACTGGGTCAGTTCTATCAATAGCTGTTATTTAGTCTAACTGAACAAAACCTCCATATTTAGAAGGTTTGGGTGTCTAAGGCAGCTGTGGCTTCTTGGAGATCGAGAACATAATGATGCAAGAAGATCACTGACCCCCTTTAGATCTTTTTTCAGTCTCCCTGGCTTCTTGGCTTCCTTCTTCAGGCAAGTTGGGTTCTTGCTACATGACGGCCTGGGTATCATCAGAAATAATTTGGGGTACAAGAGCCACGGTGGCGCAGTGGTTAGAGTGCAGTACTGCAGGCGACTTCTGCTGACTGCCGGGCTGCCAGCAGTTTGGCAGATCGAATCTAACCAGGCTCAAAAGTTTGACTCAGCCTTCTGTCCTTCCGAGGTCAGTAAAATGAGGACCCAGATTGTTGGGAGCCAGAGGCTGACTCTGTAAACTGCTTAGAGAGGGCTGGAAAGCACTGTGAAGCGGTGCTATTGCTAAGTGGAAAGGGAGGGGGAGAGGGGGGAGGGAAGGAAGGAAGGAAAGAAGGAAGGAAGGAAAGACGGACAGACGGGCCATGGTGCCACAGTAGTTAGAATGCAGTATTACTGGCTAACACTGTCAGCAGTTCGATCCTGACCAACTCAAGGTTGACTCAGCCTTCCATTTTTCTGAGGTCAGTAAAATGAGGATTGTTGGGGGCAATATGCTGACTCTGTTAACCACTTAGAGAGGGCTGTAAAAGCACTATGAAGTGGTATATAAATCTAAGTACTATTGCTAAGTGGGAAGGGAGGGAGGGAGGGAGGAAGGAAGGAAGGAAGGAAGGAACGAACGAACTGTGGTGGCACAGTGGTTAGAATGCAATATTACAGGTTAACTCTGCAGACTGCTAGCAGTTCGATTCTGGCCAGCTCAAGGTTGACTCAGCCTTCCATTTTTCTGAGGTCAGTAAAATGAGGATTGTTGGGGGCAATATGCTGACTCTGTTAACCACTTAGAGAGGGCTGTAAAAGCACTATGAAGTGGTATATAAATCTAAGTACTATTGCTAAGTGGGAAGGGAGGGAGGGAGGGAGGAAGGAAGGATCGAACGAACGAACGAACTGTGGTGGCACAGTGGTTAGAATGCAATATTACAGGCTAACTCTGCAGACTGCTAGCAGTTTGATTCTGGCCAGTTCAAGGTTGACTCAGCCTTCCATCCTTCCGAGGTCAGTAAAATGAGGACCCAGATTGTTGCGGGGAACAAGAGGCTGACTCTGTAAACCGCTTAGAGAGGGCTGTAAAAGCACTATGAAGTGGTATATAAATCTAAGTACTATTGCTAAGTGGGAAGGGAGGGAGGGAGGGAGGAAGGAAGGATCGAACGAACGAACGAACTGTGGTGGCACAGTGGTTAGAATGCAATATTACAGGCTAACTCTGCAGACTGCTAGCAGTTTGATTCTGGCCAGTTCAAGGTTGACTCAGCCTTCCATCCTTCCGAGGTCAGTAAAATGAGGACCCAGATTGTTGCGGGGAACAAGAGGCTGACTCTGTAAACCGCTTAGAGAGGGCTGTAAAAGCACTGTGAAGCGGTGTGTAAGTCTAAGGGCTATCCCCTTCCATGATGCAATTGAATCCCCACCTGCCAAGGGCAGAAATCACGCCCACTTGGCGAATGCCCGGAAACCCAGCAGATGTTCAGCAAATGTGTGGCTTCCTGTCCAAATGGGAGGGGAAAGGATTGTAGGCCACACAAAATAGTTGGGTAGAGCTGCCAGGGAGAGGCGTCTCTCTCTCTCTCTCTCTCTCGAACAAGAAAGGTTTTGTGCCGGATAATCATCCTCAGCTTTCCACCTGCTCCTCTGCATAGGGAAGTTTGCTGGTTTTTGAAGTTGATGGAAATGACCTTCTCTGGGCTGGCCCCTTAGAAAGGGGGGAGAGAGCACAAGAGGGCTACATTTTGGAGAGAATTTGATGATCAAACTCAGGAGCAATGAAAAGAGGTTGCCCAAAGAGTGTGTGAGATCCTTTTGGGCAACCAAAGTTGGGATGATGCTCTGGTGGGACCTTCAGAAGGTCCCTTCCAGCTCTGTTCTGATGGATTTATTGTTATTTATTTGGGGCTACCTGGAGGAATTTCCTCCTAGAAAACTCCGAGAAGGATCCCTACGACACAAAAGCCTGCGTTTATATTTATACATTTTGGGAAAGGAGGAGAAATCGCACATATGCCAAGATAGTAGATGATATAAGCACGAATAGTTCTAATTAGCAAACCTCGAGTTATTTCCCCCTGCCCATCTACTGTTACTACCCTCAAGGAGGAGTTGTTGTCTTGAAAAGGGACCTTTCGGTTGTGTTGCCATGGCAGTTGTGATAAAACGGACTGAGAACGGAAGACTTCAAGGTTGCGCCAATTAGCATGTAGCCCTGCTATATTTATATCTGGTTAACACGCTTCCATTCCTCCCAAAGATTGCTTTTGCTCACAGGAGGTCTGTGACCAGTTCACAGTGGTTGCTAAGCGACCGTCATAAATCAAGGACTGGCTGTGTGGACCCAATCTACCTGTAGAATTGATTTTCCTAATAGGGTAGGCATGGGGCCAGATGCTGGTGGCAGCCCCGTGGAAGCTAGATAGATATGACTGTAGCCAGGGGTGGGATTCAGTCAGTTCGGACTGGTTCGGGCAAACTGGATGCTAATTTTGCATCTGGTTCGCTGTATCATTAGTTGGAAGGACTGGCTGGCCACGCCCCACTCCCAGGAGTCTCCACGCGGCCCCTTCATCATGCCAGGTAAGGGCAGGCCCATGTGGAGGCTCTGGGAGACAAGAAACCGGCCTCCCGGAAGTCCAGAAATGGGTCTTTTTCCGGCCTCTGGAGCCTGCGGGAGGCCGTTTTCACCTTCCCGGAGGCTTGAGGGAAGCTTCCGCAGCCTGGGAAGGGTGAAAATGCCCTCTCCCTGCCATGGTACAGGAGGCTGAGTAGGCCACGCCCTCATGGCCAAGCGCACCCATCAACTGGGCAGAGAACTGTTTGCTAAATGTTTTCAATCCCACCCCGGACTGAAGCCCTTAATTCTTTTTCTCCCCCCCCTTTTTTTTTTTTAATCCTCCAGGTGATGCAGAAGCAAATGTCGAAGTTTCCATGCCAGATGTGGTAGAAGCCGAAATTGGGGAGACAGTTATAATTAACTGTGAGTTCTCTCTCCCAGAGAACAGCAGCTATGCTTACATCAACTGGTTTTCCGTAAGTCCAAAAAAATTTCTAGCTTTTTTTTTGGGTGGTGGGGGGGCGCAGAGGCTGAAGAAATGTTGCCTTCCATGGGGTTCACCCAAAGGTGGAAATCTATGGAAGCTTCGGAGTAACGCAGGGCTCTGGGGCAGCCGTGCTGTCTCATCCCTGCGCCTCCTATTCCTGTGTGGGTTTATTCTTTTTGTTATCACGACTTTCCGTGTTTTTCCCTTGGTCTCTTTTGCGATCCTAACTTTTGCAAATCTTTTCTGGAGCTGTAAAATGGGGTTGGCACCACGTTGGTTCCAGAAATAAAGAGGTTTCGGTTGTTTCGAAGTTTTTAATCTTCTTTTAAAATAG